ATTGATGATACCACCTAGCGCATTGATGATGCCACCTAGCACATTGATGATACCACCCAGCGCATGGATGATACCACCTAGCGCATTGATGATACCACCTAGCACATTGATGATACCACCCAGCGCATGGATGATACCACCTAGCGCATTGATGATACCACCTAGCACATTGATGATACAACCTAGCGCATTGATGATGCCACCTAGCGCATTGATGATACCACATAGCACATTGATGATACCACCTACCACATTAATGAGACCACCCAGCGCATGGATGATACCACCTAGCACATTGATGATACAACCTAGCACATTGATGATACCACCTAGCGCATTGATGATGCCACCTAGCACATTGATGATACCACCCAGCGCATGGATGATACCACCTGGCGCATTGATGATACCACCTAGCACATTGATGATACCACCCAGCACATGGATGATACCACCTAGCGCATTGATGATACCACCAAGCGCATTGCTGATTCACCTAGCGCATTGATGATACCACCTAGCGCATCGATGATACAACCTAGCACATTGATGATACCACCTACTGCATTGATGATACCACCAGCGCATGGATGATGCCACCTAGTGCATTGATGATACAACCTAGCACATTAATGATGCCACCTAGCACATTGATGATACCACCCAGCGCATTGATGATACCACCTAGCGCATTGATGATGCCACCTAGCACATGGATGATACCACCTAGCGCATTGATGATACCACCTAGCGCATTGATGATACCACCTAGCGCATTGATGATACCACCTCGCGCATTGATGACACCACCTACCACATTGATGATACAACCTAGCGCATTGCTGATTCACCTAGCGCATTGATGATACCACATAGCGCATTGATGATACAACCTAGCACATTGATGATACCACCTAGCGCATTGATGATGCCACCTAGCACATTGATGATGCCACCTAGCGCATGGATGATACCACCTAGTGCATTGATGATGCCACCTAGCACCTAGCATTGATGATACCACATAGCACATTGATGATACCACCTAGAGCATTGATGATGCCACCTAGAGCATTGATGATGCCACCTAGCACATTGATGATGCCACCTAGAGCATTGATGATCCACCTAGCGCATTGATGATGCCACCTAGCGCATGGATGATACCACCTAGAGCATTGATGATGCCACCTAGCACATTGATGATACCACCTAGCGCATTGATG